TGGTTTGTGGTACTAAAATAGTAGTATTGAAGCACTAGCCTGCCAAATTATTTATCGGTCGACGCTATCCAAGGAAGACCTATTCAGAATCGATGAAGTTGATTGAGGTTGAGAGTTGACTGCCATTCTACGCTCTATCCTATGATGATGCGTAGCATTGCAATTTGATCCTCACATGATTTGTTCTTCCTGAATCCAGGCTGTTCCGGTCGTAGTTTTGAATCCAGTGAATCTTTTAGTCTCTCCAGTAAGATGCGTCATAATATTTTGTTTGTTGTGGGTGGACAGGGGTGGAGCATGATTCGTCAGCAGTTCTTGCAAAGACTTAGGTCGACCTTCTTCAACAGTTTGACAAGATTGCTCTTCTTGCAATCAATCGGTAGGTACCTTTCCTTCTTCCTCCTTCCTTCCTTGCAAACTTTCTGCAGTAGTTGTGTGAAGATTTTGGCTGTTGTCTGTGCATGTGTTTTCAGTGTTTCTGGTGGAATTCCATCTGATGCTGCTGCGTTTTCGGATTTCAGCAGCTTTATGGTGTTCAGGACTTCGGCTTCTGTCGGAGGACTTGTGTTCCCTGGTAGTCCTGCCCAAATACGATACAGTGAGATTCTTAATGATAATGAAACTGAACTGCTTGTTTTGAGATAAACTTAATTCTTTTATTCTATATTATATTTGTTTATGTGGTTTATAACACACAATGACCTTGTATTATTTACTTGGTGACGTTTAAGGCATAAATTACTGCTCATAATCATTTCATATGAGCAGTCATTTATGCTCGAAACGTGGTCATCAAGTAAATAATACTAGGTCACTGTGTGTTATAAACCAAATAAACAAATCTAATATGGAATTGATTTGTACCACAGTGATGAAGTTTTACACCTATATTTACTCCTTTTATGTTTATCGATGAATTACTCTCTGAGATAAGATTTTGGTTGACAAATGTCTGATTGTCACACTAAATATAGTCATCATCAATGCGTATCAGGCTTATACGGTAGCTGATGATGATGATGATGTGCAGATGATGCTGAATTATTTATCAGTAAAGATTCCAGTCAAGAGAACAAGTCAAACGGAACAGCTAAATTCTAAGTTAGAAATGTTTTCCACCATTTTGCTTCTTTTAAAACCCAAGTGACTGGTTTCTCACCTGATTATCCTGATTAAAACTTTCATTTTTACACTAAGTAATCAAGGTGGCAGTCCACAACTTGGATGAAAGATATATTATTATTGACTGATGTGAATAATTGGATCCTATCAACTGAGTTTATTGACAAATGTTGGATATATCCAGAGGACTAAGATGTCAGACGAGTGAATCATCATTTTCTGTTGGGCTTACTCACCTTATGTGATTCAGTTCACTAAAGATCCTGTCATCTGATTGAGAAGTGAAATAAAATACTTTGATAAACTCAGCTCTTTCAGCTGTCTGCATTTGAGTTCAGAGTCTATGAGCTGAGAAATGCAGAGGTGAAGCAGCCGTCGTGTAACCGTCTTGAAACGAATCACTACTGGTCAGTAGAAGTAATCCTAATAGTGTATACACTGTGTAGTTATTCTACTGTCCGTCTCAATAACAGAACTCCATTGCATCTATCTGACACATACCAGTTTTAAACTATGGGATTTACAAGCATTTTCCTTAAAATTAATAAATGGTTTTAGCGCAAAATGTTAGTTTTTGTACTGAGTTGCATTCCAAATTCATCTGATAATGTTTGCTGTTCATCTTGTTATCATGAAGTCCGAATCATTGTTCCTCAGTTATAAAAACAGTTTGAACAGACGCAACACAATAGTCTTCTTTCACCAGACAATTCTTGATTCAACTTGGTGAGTTATAGGGATTTATTTATTGATTTCACGTTGCTATTCATCATGAACTTATATCGGATGGAGAAACACTGGAAACCTGGGAGCTCTGGACATCTGTTTCGTCGTAGTATGGAACTCCTTAGTAGTGCGCACCCATGATCCCGCTCCACTGGGGATCGAACACAGGACCCTCAGGTCCCGTGGACAGCACGTTACCATTGAGCCACCGGTTCGGTATCGGATAGTCCAAATCCCCTATTTCTATCAGTCCAGGACATAGTGCTCATTAGAGACTTGCTATGAGATGCGATTCCCGAAGTCGTGACCGATGGAGCAAACCAATTCGAAAGTGGGAATACCTACTTAACGATGGGACTGAATTGAGATCGCGCTACGTCATGAAGGGATAGAAGTATGAAATATGGATCACTGGGCGCCAACTAAGTGGCCCAGTGATAGCGTGCTGTCCACTGGGCCTGAGTTCGATTCCTGGAGGGCAGGGTCATGGGTGCGCAATGCTGAGGAGCTTCATGCCAGATGGGAACAGCTTTCCACTTCTCCTAGGTTCTTCAGCTGATATCAGTTTATGATGAATATCAACCTAGAATTCTTGATTCCTTAACTTTTTTGTGCACAAATTTCTGACCCCTTCACCGCTTTTCCAGGCAACCAATATTCAAAGAAGTAAAAGACCACTGCCATAAATTAATCAGAAACATAAGGTAGAGCTGTTTAGACTGAAGAATTCTATTTGTGAGGCTGGGAATGAAAGAACTTGTAGTATGAAAAGGAAGATGGAAATGTAAAGGCGTGAATTTCTATTTGAGCACTAGTTTACTGGTGAGTGTAGAAACTCAGCTCTTAAGTCAAACCAATCAGGATTTCTTATGGAAGCTTTTAGAATGGATTATCTTATATCACCTTTCATAGCATTGGAGAGCTGCTCGCCTTAATTTATCATCTTCTCGATGCCATTCTGGTTCTTAGAAGAATCTAGATTACAGATGGCTTGCACCTCTGAACAAGGACACATGTTAACCATAGAAAACATTTCGGATTCAATTGGTTTCCTCTACTGTTGTTCTCAATTGAGGAGGAATATAACTGGAAACTCATGATACACATGCTCAAATCAATCACCTGTCAGGACCAACGTTTGAAGAATGATCATTTGATCTTCTGACTCATTGTATTGCATGAAATTTCTGAATTCAATCCTAGAAATAAATGGACAAGCTGACTGCAAAATGCTGCTTAGCAGAAACTTCTCAGTTGTTCTTTGGTCTCTTCTTTACTTACAATGACAGTCTCCTGTTAATTCATCCACTTGTCAATCATACATATCCTCAACTTCAGAGCATTAGATCATTTCTGAATTAGGCAGTCAACTTCTAAGAAAGTTTCACTCTGGTTCGTACCATATAGTTGTATGCTTTCCGAATAAGAACAAGCGAAAATATGTAAGGAAGATTTCAAACTTCCCTGAACAAGTTTCTTCATAAGTTTTCTTCATGAATATAATAACTTATTGATATTTGTAATTCCTCCTTTTTATTCTGGATCGGATTGATCGATCACTGTTGGCATTTGGTCTCTTATGTAGATACCTTGGCATTGCCTATTAGCTTCTACAGGTAGGATTAACATGATCATTGATTTCGTGAACAGTTTTGATAATATATTTGGCTATAGATGAAGAGGATCACCTCTCACCCACACTTATCAAAGTTTTACAACTCATCTGTCTTTAAAGTCGTCTCAGTATATGTTTTCCAATCCTCAACTCCATGGCTGGATTATTCCTCGCCACTTGTTTGTGGTCACATACACCCGTTGCACATGAGGTGACTCTCATGCCGTAGTAAGCAATGCTTTAGCATTTGAAGCGATGGGTTCTGGGTTTGGTTCTCATTGGGAACAACACCACTCACTGCAGTGCAGGTGCACCCAGCTGACGAGTTTCGAATGAGACAAAACTTGCATTCTAGATCGCACTGCTAGTCACCAAGATCAGAATAATATTTAATTACAAATAGGTTTAAATCTATGAGTCCTTTACCTTGTTTTCATTAAGCCTAGATTTCTAATTTTGCTCTCAGAAAAGCTCATTTTGTCAGCCTATTTGCCCCTTACTTCTTTGTAATTCACTGCTGTGAAGCCAATTGGACAATGGTTTATTGAATATTTATATTGCATGATGACTCAAGATGAAATGAAAGTTTGAACCCCGGCCAGATTCCAACCAGTGACCACCGGGTTTCCAGCCCGATGCTCTTCTATTGTGCTATGAGGCCCGACTGCTTACCAGGTTTTTATTTCCCTTCAATTACAAGGCAGGGTTTTACCTGACTACCATGTTAATTTGTGGCGCGTTACTATTACTTGATCGTACTCATACTACCCGTCCATTCAGGACTTCTCATCCCAACCGAAATGTAACTAAATTAGAGAGGATGAGTATCATTCTGATTATCATTTTGCCTATCTGAGATAGCCGTGGTTTGGTAGACTAGTATTTATACTGGATGATTAGGATGAGAAATCCCAACTAGGCAGCCAGTGTGAATACGACCAAGAATTTACATGGTAGTCGGACAAAACTCTTGGTGATCGAAGTCAAATAAACAGTCTGGTCAGTAGTTGGGCCTCATAAGACAGTTGGTGGAGCGTCAGGCCGGAAACCCAGTGCTCTCTGGCTCGAATCCGGCTGCTATCCGAATTTTTATTCCACCTTCAATCTTCACCCATTATAAATTCAACTTACTCTAGCTATGAAAACTCATAGGGTATTCTCTAGTTGACCTGAAAATGGAAAAATGAATAGACCAACCATTTAATTTCCCACTTTATTTGTCATTAAAGTTCTGCACCAATAATTTCATCCTCGTATGCATCTTCCGTTGATTTCTGTTAAGGATTGTCAAAAATGATAAATTACTATACACATTTAATTTTTTAACCTTCATACATTAATCAACCAGTAAAATTTACTGCTGTTTATTCTGTCAACTTTTGATTGGTCCTATCACCTATACTGATATGGTCACCTGAGTTCGGTTCAACCAATCAACAAAGGAATTTATTTTCATCCAATCTGATTAATATCTGCAAACTTGCCAATCATGTGTGAATAAGACAATAGTACCAGGATGATAATTGTCTAAGGACATAAATCACATAAATCACAAACGTTAGACAATTCTGACGAACAAAGTTAAAACTACTTGATGAAATTGAAGAAATAAGAGAGTAATACTTCTTCTGATTTGTCCACCATGATAGAATGAGGACATTTAATCTGCTGACCGTAACAACGTACACTACATTTTTGTACATTGAAATATGAATTTGATAACGCATCCACTTAATTAAACATTATTCATGATGTTCTCCTCTCTAGGTGATAACTGTACAAATCAGTTTTTCATGATAATTATCGTATTTATCAGTAGTCTATTTATTCAAAAAATTATTGGTACTCCTAATGTACTATCTACTCCACCACATGGTCAACAACGTTGTATGAAACCGGTACCGATACAAATTCCGGAGTGTCAAAATACATTTTATAATTATACTGGTATGCCAAATTTAGTTGGTCAAGAGACACAGTTTGATGCAAGACATCAGTTACAAACATTTAAACCATTAATTACTTACAAATGTTCATCAAAATTGAATTTTTCTTATGCTCAGTATATACACCAATGTGTGATGTTAATACACATTATTTAATTGGACCATGTCGGCCATTATGTGAACATGTACGTGCTAGATGTGCTCCTGTGTTAAGAGTATTCGATTTTGATTGGCCAGAAAATTTGAATTGTTCACGATTCCCTGTGAAAAATAGTGTTGGTGGTGCAATGTGTATGGAAGGTCCAGAAGACTTAGAAGAAGATATCAATACACCACAGAATAGTATTACTAATAGTCATTTGAAAGAAAGAGTCATAAAATCAGACTATAAGGACTTACCATTAGATTCATCAATGAAACAAGTATTACAAGCAATCACAGTAAATGATCATAAATTCGTTAACCATGAAGAAACAATTAAAGAGGAAGGATTCACTAAGTTAATGGAGAAGTTGACAGCTGGTGATTTATCACTGATACCAAGAACTACAAAAGATTTTCTGCCAAGTACGCTTACATCACACTTGAACAAATATCCTCTAACTCTAAATCATTTAGCCCAATCGATACGTCATTGTTCCTACTTAAAAAAGCCAACATTCTATGTTTACATAAATCGTACTGGAAGGTGTGCACCACTATGCGAAGCGGATATCCTTTATACAACAGAGGCTAAAACATTGTCAACAATGTGGACCAGTGTACTAGCTGGTATATGTTGTCTAGTGACCACATTCACCTTGATACGTTATGCAATGAATCCATCAGATTTTAGACCAAATGAAAAACCAATTGTTTACATTGCTCTTTGTCAGTTATTTTTTGCACTTGGTTATGGATTAAGTTTAGGGTTGGGTAGAGAAACAGTGACATGTGGTCGAGACATGGATTCAGGACAGAAGATACGCCTGCAAGAAGGGTTAGATAATCCTATGTGTGCATTTGTATTTATGATCCAATACTTTTTTTCAATAGCTAGTTATATTTGGTGGACTATGCTGGTATTTCATTGGACTTTACAAAGAACAGGAGCAATGTTTGCATGTTTCTGTTGTGCTAGTTCACCTTCAACTCATTCTCACCTACCATCACCACCACTATTACCACCAATACCCTCGACGTATCCTGTTATGGGTAATAATAGTACAACTAATCCCAATGGTAAACAGTTCAAAAACTGTTGCTTTAAAATGCAATCATTATGTTTATGCTCTGAAAATTCTATGAACTGGAATAAATCTGAAATAATTATGAATGAAGGAGTATATCCACCAAAGAATAAAGACATTAGTCCTAATCAACAGTTGACAACATCTTCAAGTTTACACCATCAACAACAACAAGTGGTTAACATCAATGGCAGTGGACAAATGACAAAATTGACGCATTCATTAACACCGTGTACACGACACAATGATGCTCTAAAGCGTGATTACTGTTGGTCAGCATTAAGTCCCAATCAACGACATATTATATTCACATCGAAATCAGATCAGATAACAGCTTGTTTAGCTAAAGAGCATTTAGTAGCATGGCTGACAGCTGGTTTATTCACTGTTGGTGTTCTTGTTAGTCGACAAGTAAGTTAATGCTGATCAATTATCTATATATTCAATTATTACTGGTATATACTGCAGACATGTACACATTTGTAGTACTAAGTCACTTGGTACTCTTCATATTGTGCTATGTATAGCCACTGTTGTGCAGGTGTATGTGTGGCTGATTGTTGCTAGACTCACGACTTTCGAGCAACTGGCTATGGGTTCGAACCCCGTTCCACTAACTTTATTATGTTAAATACCTTGTTAGGTGCATATCCTATGACATAAATATGTACTGGTTCACGACTGTTATTATTCTTCTTCTTTGCCTCTCTGTGTTCATCTACCTAGTACTAATTGGTGACTTACATTGGCGGTAAATCATCTGTCTGACAATATCATGATGTGTACAACGTACTTTATGTTGTTTTGTTTACATGATGTTAGAAAATTTGCTGATGAAGAAGTATTTCACTTGAATACAGCATGAGTTTCAGTCGACTTGCAGTCCACTGTTATTTTCAGAGATGAAAGCTGAAAGCCTTCTATGTAGGTGATAGTAACAATGAATAATATTTTATTCACTTTTCTCGACTTAAATCACCTTATCTTATGCCTGATTATTAATGTTACCAACTGTAGACACAAAATTTTGTCAATTACTCAAGAAACTGTGTTCCGTGTGTCACAAGCTTGTCGATTGGTCAGACTGTATTTTATTGAGGACCAGAGGAAGTGAGAATTTAGTGGGCTTTTTACATAATGTAATTCTTTATGAAGAAAGGAAATCACTTCAACTAACACTAAGTAGTAAGACATTGGCTATAACTTCACAACAAATGCTCTATAAAAGTCTATAACTTTGACTGAACAGTTTAAACCACCTAGTGGAAGCTGAGTCACCCCCTTCTGATGTAAGAGATATCTAGCGTAGATACTGGATATATATATATATATATATATATATATATATATATATATATATATATACGAGTACAGTTGTAAAAGACATATGGGCAGTATTGGCAGTCGAGACAATACTCTGCGGAAAACTAGTTGCTTAAGTTGAAAGATTGAACAGTATGTTACTTTATTTGTTGGTTTATGGGGTGGGCTGATTTTAAGGTAGTAAGCGTCATTAAGTGATATCGGCTAAAGAACTAATGAAAATATGGGGACATCAACTATTTTTTCCGAGATTGGAACCTACAACCAGTGGACACTAACAAACCTGCAAGGGATGGAGCTCATTACTGTTAGCCCTCGTGAGAAGCCCATTAACAATCAACTAGTCAGTTAGCTGGAGGGCTATAGTAAATACTTTCTTGCTTCTATCGGTTCGCGATACGCCATAACCGTCAACTGATGCTATCGGAGCGTATGTGTCCTCAAACCCAACCTGATTGACCCTACCATTTAAAGCTTTCCACTCCAACTTCTGGATACCTACCAAGAAGCATGATGCTACAAACAATGGACGTAATTCAGTTGGTTGTTTACGGCAAATAGTTAGTTTCAGAGTTTAAGTTCAAACCGTAATTTGTGTGCTAACATTTTTATCTACGAAGCTGACAGAGCCAAAAGCCAACTCAGAATGTGGGTACTACAAAGCGTTTTCTTCCCTTTCCAACATTGTCAATCTAACACTCAAGGTAGTCTTATCATAGAAACAAATCTAATTGTAGATACAAATAGAGTGGAGACAAATAACTCGGATGTGAGGACGAGTACTCACCGATAGCATCGAGGATACTGCGGATATGTCGCTAACTCACAGGAGTAAGAAGATGGAGTGTTGAGTTTCAAACAGCTGGGAGAAGTGCAATGCTTCCATCATGAGGACTAATGGTGTTGGGCTAAACCCCTTGTGCAATCATGTGTACGCATTGGTTGGGGAATTACAAGCATCAAAAAGTAATAATAATAACAACTGATATCTATTGTAGCAGAGGTGGATTTTGTGCCTCAGTGGCCTAGTGGATGACCCATTGTGGTTTGAAGCGACGGGTACGGGGCTTGAGTCTCTGTGGTAAGGCCATCAATTACTGGTCTGCAAACACATTCAGCTGAGAACTCCCAAATGGAAAGAAACCCCCTTCCTGAATTCCAAGGCTAACCATCACCAGGAAAATAATCATGATTTAGATAAGTGTAAATAGATAGCAGATTTTATCAAGATAAAACGTAACGCTACCACTCAACGGTTCAAATTATCAGACCTAACTTGAGCATATCACTGTAGAAGGTAACTACTAGAGGAGATGAGGGGATGAAGCAAATAATTAAGTGTGATCAAGATAAGAACAGATTAGATAGGAATACAACTTCACCCTTACGGTCGATTCTGGGCCATACCTCTTCCAGTCTCATGACATATGAAGAAGTGGATTTCAGTTTGTTTTTATAAGAAACTTCTTGACAATTTTAAATCGCCAAATATGAGTTTGACATTCATAATATAACGGGAAAAAATCTTTTACTCGCTCGTATGAAAGTTTGTGCATTTAGTAAAACGTGATGCATACTGCTATGCATACTAGATATCGTGTTGAAGTGTATTCACAAATAATTAGTCTCAGTAACTCTATCCATTGGAATTATTGTTTCCCTAAGGTTTTCTGATGCTTCTGAAGTCTTCTACTTCTTTTATCCTACCCAAACAACATTGTGTAATCAGTCAAATACTATTGTTACTTACTACTGAACGACATAGTTATTCGGCTACCAGCTGTACTGTAAATAATTTACAGTAGACTGAGCAACTCAAGTCGAACGACCAGTTTCTACTGGTCTAAAGATTCATCATAATACACCACTACTGATGAAATCGGCTCCAAACGAGGGGAGTAACTGTTCAGGACTTTGATCATTGGGATCTGTGACTAACCAAGCTTAGATTAGTTTAAGTGATGTCATTTAACGGTATTTTTCGTGAATAAATGACACTTTTGTGTTGAGATTTAAACATGCAAAAGTAACAGTAATATCAGTAGTTGCTTGTTAAGGAACGACTGAAAATCAGACGACACTGAGCATTGATCCTATTCTCCCTCAGGTAGTCAAAATGATAATCAATATGATGCTCCTCTTCTCTAATCCAAGTAAATTTGGGTTGGGATGAGAAGTCGGGACTGGTGAGACAGTAAAAGTACTGTCAAGCAATAATAACACGTTACGAATTCACATGGGCGAAACCTTTGGTGATATAGGTGAAATATGGCTAGCACTTAGTGTCTTTTTAGCTCAGTTGGTAGAGCATCAGGTCAGAAATCTCGTCGGTAGTCATTGGTTCGAATTCTGCCTTCACCTTCAGTCATCACTGAGTATCAAAGCAAGTCTGCCAAACCACGACTATTTCAAATAGTCAAAATGATGATCCTATTCTGATTGAACACATCACTAGTACATAATCTTACCATTTTGTGGAAACTTGGAGGTCATGAAATTCAACATTTGAATACAGACTACTGAGTAATCTCGAAATAGGATCAAATAACTTTGCTATCCATTTAAGAAAATTTTAATGGTGTCTTAATGAATTAAATTTTGAGGGAGTTGTGGAGATTTGGAATTATTTCAAGTTGTTATTCATCGTAGACTGACATCAGTTGGAGGAACAAAGGAAACCTGGGAGCACTGGACAGCTGTTTCGTCCTAGTATGGGACTCCTTAGCAGTGCGTACCCACGACCCCACCAGCAGGGATCGAACCCGCGACCTTCAGGTTCCGCGGCCAGCGCGTTACCATTGAGCCACTGGGTCAGAATCCAATGCTTCATATTTCCAACTGCTGTTAGCTCACGATATAGCGCAACCGCCTTAATTAACCATCTTAATTAATGTCAGTAAGTTATTGAAACCAAGTAACTGGCTCAAGGTCGTTTGACCTCCAAACTTAATTAATTAATGCAATTAATGTAATGTAATGTAGTGTAATTAATGTAATTAGATATCTAAAAAGAATTGTCAGCATTCAGACAGTAACAGAGGAAGTATAAAATAAATTGAGGTGTATGAATGGGGGTATGCGCACTAGTTTTACACTAAAATCAAGTCGCTCCCTCCGTTTCATATATATATATATATATATATATATATATATATATATATATATATATATATATATATATATATATACTAGTCATGACTAGAAGTCAAGTGTCAGAGTAGATTTTCACCGATAATAGTGAATGCCAGTCACTAGATGCATTTTAAAATTGACTGAAGTTAAAAATACTGATGGCTTGAAGTGTAATCTAATAACTGTTTGTTAACAGGCGTAAAGATCTTAACTCCCATCTCATATACGATTAGTCAGTGGTTGATATTGCTTAGAGTTCATGAACTTGGACCAAAACTCCCTAGTCCTAGGGCTTTTATTTTATCCGTTTCAGAGACATTATATGGTAGCGAAAGTGTACTGAAATATGACAGTTCTTATTCTGTAGTAACTGTGCTCATTAGGAACATCTCAGCCATAGCATCAGCGAATTCATTATGAACTCCGTATTTAATCGGATCAGGATAGACAAATGGTCAGCCAATGTATACAAATTTTGTTATTTTACTATAAGTACCCTCTATATAATATTCCAAATTGTCAGTAAAATTTGAACGTATCCACATAGGTGATGAACTGAATTGTTTGAGATGACAGATAGTTTATGAAAGTTTGATTACGTCAGAATCAGCAGTCTTATTATATCATTTGCAAATCCTTACAGTTATACTTGCCTCTTTAGTAATGGTTTCGCTATGATATACAAACAACCATTTTGAACTGAAAGCCTCATAAAGCTGGATCACTGAATCGCATTAAACCTCTTCAATATGAACAGAATTCTGTTTATCGTGTTCTACTGTGTACTTGATGTCAGAAAGTTGAAGCTGATATATATATATATAAAGCTCTAGACAACATTTTTCTGTTTATCAGTAGTCATTACAAAACTGACAGTCATTCATTGTATGATATCAGATCTATTGAACATTTTTAAAGTTGATAAGGCTTGATTATATTGTTGTAGTAAGTTGTCT